TGTAGTGTTCTAAAAATTTGATCAGAGCTTAGGTGAGAGCCAGGGTTTGACCAACATTCTGTGGAAGGTCGGGCCTGATAAGGCATACTCCATTGGCCACCAAGAGGGCTCAGGAGAACTCAGCTGCAGGGGAGAGGCAGAACAGAAACAGCTAAAGGCTGGTTGGGGCATGCTAGCTTAGACCATGCCTGTACTTTCTGCTTTTTTTCCCTTTTGTAACTCACAGATGCTATCAATGTTGGTTTGCTAACCTTGACAAACAATAACAATCATCAACAAAATTAAAACACCATTTTCCTCCAGGTATGTTACTGTGATTAATGAGATAATTCCCCAGAGGTGGGGGTAGTCAGGAAGCAGCCACTTCCCACAAGTCTGGCAACACTATTTGGTTCTTTCTCCTCATGCCCATCAGGTAATGCAGAGGTAAAAGTACCCAAGGAAAGGGCTTAGAAAGACAAATGTCCTTTTCTGCCACCAACTGGAACCAATTGGCATTGAGAATCAAGTGACATTCAGTATGAGCCTAAGATCTTCTGCCCTAAACAAAGTAGCTCTGTAATTCTTTGACCATAATGCTATTAGAATGATGGCACACATTGATTTTGCCAGTGCTGAGGTCCCTCAGGCTCCTGTGAAACCTGGTTCAAGAGGAGCTGCTTCTGATTTACAAGCTCTGTTGGCTCACTGCTCGGTACTCCAGAATGGCCCTATGGCCTTGTGCCAGGCCCAAGTGATCTCTGGACTCTGGTCACTGAGAACACTGTGGGCCTCCTACTCTTTTTAAGTTGCAAAATAAATAGATCCTTAAGGCATTGAGCAGATTTTATGGATGTAGCTCAGAGTATTTTTGTCTTTAAAAGAAAAATGTAGGCAGAAGGAACCATCTCTTTGTCTCTAACTTGCTGTCCATTGCTTTCTGAGTGTACCCTCAGAGATAACAGTAAAGAGGTCAGGCACGGAGGCTCACACCTGTAAACCCAGCACTTTGGGAGGCTGAGGTGGGCCAATCACTTGAGGTCAGGAATTTAACACCAGCCTGGCCAACATGGTGAAACCCCATCTCTATTAAAAATACAAAAATTAAATGGGTGTGATAGCAAGTGCCTGTAGTTCCAGTTGCTCTGGAGGCTGAAGCATGAGAATCGCCTGAACCCAGGAGGCAGAGGTTGCAGTGAGCATGGATCATGCCACTGCACTCCAGCCTGGGTGACAGAGTGAGACTCCATCTCAACAAAACAAAACAAAAAAAAAATGAGAAGGGAATATAACCCCTAAATGCCTGAAAGGCTAATTTTTTGATAATGTTATGTGGAACATCAAAATACTTCGTTGGTAGCTGTTTTGAAAGGCAGAACCCACATTAGTGACTTCTTGGCTACTGCCTTGCGAATCTTTAGGTCTCCTTGGTCTTCCGGGGCTTGCTGAGGCTTTCTTTACAAGCTACTCATGGCTCATGTTCATGAGGTTCATTGAAGATATGAACTAGGGCTGAAAATTAGGATGTGATATAATGTACTGTAAAATTTGGTTTGATTAAAAACTGAGTGTGGGAGTAGGAGTTTATAGTGTTGACATAACCAGTAGCCGGCCACCTAGTCTGATCTTAATATGTTGACAGTATTTAGATTCAATAGTAACTTGTAGCATCAAAAAAAATACCAAAAACCAACATTTACAGATAGTCTCTGACACACAATGGTTCAACTTGGAATTATTCTTTTTTTTTTTTTTTTTTTTGAGACGGAGTTTCATTCTCGTTACCCAGGCTGGAGTGCAATGGCGCGATCTCGGCTCACCGCAACCTCCGCCTCCTGGGTTCAGGCAATTCTCCTGCCTCAGCCTCCTGAGTAGCTGGGATTACAGGCACGTGCCACCATGCCCAGCTAATGTTTTGTATTTTTAGTAGAGATGGGGTTTCACCATGTTGACCAGGTTGGTCTCGATCTCTCGACCTTGTGATCCACCCGCCTCGGCCTCCCAAAGTGCTGGGATTACAGGCTTGCGCCACCGCGCCCGGCCTATTCTTTTGTCCCCTCTCTGTATTTTCAAACAGCCTGGCTTCTGCTCACTAATTCTTTCTTCTGCTTGATCAGTTCTACTAAGAGCCTCCGATGGATGCATCCTTCAATATGTCAATGGCATTTTTTCAACTCCAGAATTTCTGCTTGATTCTTTTATTTCAATTTCTTTGTTACATTTATTTGATAGTATTCTGAATTCTCCCTCTTTGTGTTATCTTGAATTTTTTTGAATTTCTTCGAAACAGCTATTTTGAATTCCTTGGCTGAAAGGTCACAGTCTCTGTCTCTTCAGTATTGGTCACTGATGCCTTATTTAGTTTGGTGAGGTCATGTTTTCCTGGATGGTCTTATGTGTGTGGATGCTTATCATCAGTGTCTGGTCTGGGCTTGTTTGTACCTGTCCTTCTTGGGAATGTTTTCCAGGTATTTGAAGGCACTTGGGTGTTATGATCTAAGTTTTTGGCCACTCTACAGTGGCCATATCTGCATTAAGGGATACCCCAAGCCCAGTAACACTGTGGCTCTTGCAGACTCATAGAGGTACCACCTGGGTTGTCCTAGATGATATCCAGAAGAATTCTCTAGATTACCAGGCAGATACTCTTGTTCTCTTCCTTTACTTTTTTCCAAACAAACAGAGTCTCCCTTTCCGTGCTGAGCTGCCTGGAGCTGGGGGAGGGGCGACACCAATGTCCCTGTGGCCACCATCACTGGGACTGCCCTGGGTCAGACCTGAAGCCAGCACAACACTGGGTCTTGCCCAAGGCCCACTGTAACTATTAACTGGCTACCATCTATGTTTGCTCAAGGTCCTAGGGCTCTACAATCAGCAGGTAGCAAAATCAGCCAGGTTGTGTCCTTTTCTTCAGGAGCTCAAGTTCCCCTGGGCCATGGGTAAGTCCATAGATGCTGTCTGGGAGTCTGCGCCTGGAGTTGGAAACTTTAGAAATCTACCTGGTGTTGTATTCTACTATGGCTGACCTGGTGCCAAAACTCCTGAAGTCCTTCCCATCCTTCCCTCCCCTTCCCCAGGCAGAGGAGTTTCTTCTCAAGTCCAACAGCAACACGGGCCCACGAGGAGTACTACTGGGATACTGCCAATGTTCACTTAAGGCCTGAGGGCTCTTCTGCCAGCATGTGGTGGCTGCTGCCAGGCCTGTGACTTACCCTTCAGGGCAGTGGGTGCCCCTCTCCCAGAATAGGTCCAGAGATGCCATCCAAGAGCCAAGGACTAGAATCAGGGACCCAAAGAGCTGGCTTAGTGCTCTGTCTCACTATGGCTGACCTGGCACCTAAGCTCAAGACAGAGTCCCCTTTATTCATCCCTTTGCCTTTTGGGTCACATCTGAAGCCAGGGCATCTCAGAGTCTCACCTGAGGCCATGGTATGTACTATTTGGCTACTGCTACTGATTATTCAGGGTCCAAAGGCTCTTCATTTAGCATGTGATGAAATCTGCCGTGACTGGGTCCTTCCCTTCAAGGCAGTGGGCTCCCTTCTGGCCCAGGGTTTGTCTAGAAATGCCATCGAAGAGCTAGGGCCTGCAATGGGGGCCTCAGGATTCTGCCCAGTGCCCTATCCTACTCTGGCTGAACTGGTATCCAAGTTGCAAGACAAAGTCCTTTTCACTCTTCCCTCTTCTCTCCTCAAGCAAAGGAAGGAGTCTGTTTTGGAGCCATAAGCTGTGTTGCCTAGGGTTGGGGTAGGGGTGATATAAGCACTTAGCCATCCTGGCTGGTGTCTTACTAGATCGCATGCTCCCCAGTTCACTGGCTGAGCTCAGCAAAGCACTAGGACTTGCCTGGGAGTTGCAGTTGTTGTGGCCCAGACAGGCTTTCAAGTTCGTTTAGGACCTCAGAGCACTTTAGCCCATGGTGGTAGAAGCCGAAACTCAGTTTCTGAAAGGTGGGATGGGCAATTCTCCTCTGGCTAGGGGTGGTCTAAATGCGCCCTCCAGTGGCAACTGCTGAGTTCTGCCCAGTGTCGGCAGCACTGAATTCTAGGCTCCCACAATCGCTGTGCTCTTCCTCCAAGTGCACAGATTCTCTCTCCACACTGTGTGGCTGCTGCCAGCGGATGGGGGAGAGGTGGTGTCAGCAATTCAAGATTGTCTTTCTTACCCTCTTTGGTGCTTCTTTCAGCAATATGAAGTTAAAACTAGGTACTGTGATCACTCACCTGAGTTTTGGTTCTTATGAAGGTGTTTTTTTTTGTGGTAGATAGTTGTTAAATTTGGTGTTCATGCATGGAGAACAATCAGTGGAGACTTCTGTTTGGACATCCTGCTCTGCATACTCCCCAACTTAGGACTTTTTTACTTTACCATGGGTTCCTCAGGGTATTGCATGCATTTTTGACTTACAATATTTTCAACTTGTGATGGTTTTTTGAGCTGTAAGCCCATCATAAGTCATTGAGCACCTGTACTGTGGTAATGGAGGCAGCTAGTATGTCCCTTTAAATAGGAAACATATAGTGGTACGGTGTCATAAGCTCGATGTGATTTATTCAGATTTAAGCCCTAGTAATTATAAAAGTCTATACAATTTTTTTCTTTCTCAGCAACCTTAACTTCCTGTGACTGAGGTTCATTGATTTAAATGCATTCACAGTTGAGAAGGTTTACTTCAGAATCTCAGGGAACTGCACTAAAGAATCTGGTATCAATTTTCTGAGGATTTAAAAAGAATCATACTTAATGCTGAGTTATAAAAGATATTGGCAAGTACAGCTTTTTTTTTTTTTTCAAACTGCGGTATAAAGAGCATTGAAGTTTATCATGTCCCAAACCCATTAAAAGTATCTTCACCTGTAACTGAACATCAGATGTTATTTCCTTACCTCCTTTTGGCTTTCAACTTCTAGGATGTCTGTTGAAACACCCCTCAATATTTACATGGCCTCCAAGGCTTACAAACATTTACCAGGGAAGCCACATAAGGAAAGGACTGGAAGTTTTATTTATTTTTCTCCTACCTTTAGTTCTCTTCTTTCCATCTTTCATGCCTTTAGATATTCTGAGTTTTTCTAGCTGGAGACTGGGGAGACCTAGCTCCCTCACTGTGGCCGGTGGAAGACTGCTGTGGAGTACCTGAATCCAAAGCGTTTTTGTTAGGACATAAAGTAAACAGGCCACTTTACAATTTCAATACCAGTATGCCTTTTTCTCTACCAATACCTATGTGATTTAGACCTTGAATCATATAATTCCATTCAGAATGAAAAGTTTGGTTTCTGATTGGCTGAAATGAGTTCTAGTATTCCTTTCTTTGTCAGAAGTCAAAATCACCATGTTCTGGAACATTAGTGTGTGTTGGGTAAAGTTGATAATAGGATGCTAAAACTCAAATAGCTGCTTCAGTACTGAAGTCGGAACAATTCTCCCTGGAAAGACAACCAAACTTTTCTCTTATTATAGCACTACATTGTAATTCCTTATTTAGCTATTTTGTAAGCTACTTTTATTCTTTTACTTCTCTGGTGCTCCCAGGGTCTAGGACATTGTAATGAATTCAAGAAATGTTTGATGCATAAAGGAATGAAAATATATAAGGAATATTATGTTTATTAGAGGCATAATAGTTTGGCTCTTCCTGGCTATCCTGAGTTATGATTAAGTTTGAAGAAGGGGGGGAGTAATTTTTCAACTCTATTAAACATGAGGCGTGGAGGTAGAGGTAGGAAGAGTTGGGGAAAGGTACATTATGAAACATAGAAACACTATTTACTAAATACATGTTAACAAACCTTAGCATATTTTCTAGGCTGCCCGGCCATCCCTTTCCCCTACCCTCTTTTTTCTTGCCTGTAGAGTTCAAGGAAGGGATAGGGGAATACTTTGATTCTTTGTTAAAGAAAAAGTACTTCTTTGTTAAGGAAAAGTAAGGTTATCATTTCATTCTGTTATGACTGGAGTTTTTCCTTCTCATCATTCATCAGGTCAATGTCAGTTTTAGACATCTAAACTGTGTAACACTGCATATAAAAATAAGTCCATGTTTAAGACAAAATGAATTGAAGAAAACCTTCTCTTTGACAACTTCTGTTTTTATGTGGAGAGAGGTATCATCTAGGTACATTTTGTCTATTGAAATGAACACTATCCAATAAGAATATTGATTTAAAGATCAAATGCCTGGAAGAGGGGAAAGGAAGGACAAAAGACTTCATGCTGTGTGCTATTTTGCATCAACTCAATCCCCTCCTGCTATAGAAGAGCTTCAGTTGATGTTTTGGTTTGCAGCCTTTGAACTTTCTTAGTTGCCAGTGATTGTAAGTAGTAGTCACTGGACTCGGGATACAACTAAAAAATGTAACATGCCATATGAATATTTAAACCAAGAAACTGATTTTTCATTTTTGAGTGGAGAACCCAATCCTTAAAAAAAATTGTGGTCCAAAGAAAGAGCATTACTAATGAGGACTCTCCCTTTTACAATTGCGGGTTCCTGCCCACATCTTCCACATACCTCTTTTGCCAGGGCTTACCTAGGTCAGATGTGAAGTAAATAGAACTGATGAATGATTCTTTGATTCTCTTGTCTTGTAATTTTCTATCTTAATATGCTGAAAGGGAGAACATTCAGAGTGATCTCATTTGAGAAGGATTACTTTTAAGTTCCAATTTAGGCCACATAAATTGAAAAAATAAAATTTGAATTAAATCTCAAACCTTTGGGAAGGCTTCAGATCACATATTTGGTGAAATTTACTATATTACCTTAATAATAAACATTTTATTTAGATACATCTTTGGGATGCTTGTTAAAAAATTATAGATTAAATTTTTAGTGTTAGAATTACCATTTGAGGATAGAGGAATAAAGAAAGTTCCTTTTTCCTTCAGATTTATATGGATTCCATTTTTCTCGTGCTTTACTAACATCATGAAGAGTTTTTCTTCTCAAAGTGGCAAGATTTCCTTGTCTTACTTTTTTTCTGAATGATATGGTTTTTCTTCCTTGAATTTGCCATATAGAATTTATGAGGTTTATGTGTTTTAGCCCTACAGTTTTTTCCATGATCTTACATTTTATCTCCTACAAGAGTGTTTGAAAAAACAATAAGAATTTGTTATAGAAAAACAAAAATATTTTCTAAAAATATTTTGGTGCAATAAGAAGTAAAAATGGCATTCCTGGAGATGGATTGCAATTATTTAGTCTCTGTGTCTTTTCTAGACATCCATAAATTTTTTTTCTTTTTATTCTTCTATTGGACAGAAATTTCACTTGAAGATAGATTATTAGTCTCTACCAAAGACCATCTTAAATCACAATTGCTTTAAGAACATTTGGATTAAGCTCCTTAAAAAAACACATAATATATCCACCTTACCTTGTTTTAGTTGAAACACATTCTTTTTAAAATTTAGATCTTCTTTAAAAAAAAGAAACAGAACACACTTCATTTTTATATAGAATAAACTTTGTTTTTATTATAGACATGGATGAAAAATAAAAGTTTTTATGTACATATGACATATAGTGCAAATGAAAAGCTTTTAAATACCATGGATAGGCATGTTGTTGAAAACAAAAGGAGATGAAGGATGGGGGTTAGGATGGTCGTCCTGGAACTGCAGGAGGGGGTCGCCTAGTAAAAACAAAACAAAACAAAGTAACAAAAAGAAAAACGTGGATGCAGAGGAAGAAAACAATATTTAAATTCGAAAATAAACCTTAAAAATAGCATGAAAAAATAGCTCACAAAAGTCAAATTCAAATCACACACAAAAACATGCAGACACGCAAGGGAAATGAAAGGACATCACATGGCTAAGTTAAGTTCCCAGGACTTTTCTTGACTATTAGCAATGTGCTAGCTATGACCCATTTTGAGCTCACTGAAAAAGCTTCTTATTTTGCACCGTGGAATGATAAGTCCATGTAGTTTTAGGAGAACTGGAACTAGTCCCAGAGCCAAATACCTTTATAACTTGCATATTTGATTCCCAATCCTGATTTTGTGACACTCAATTATTTTCAAAGATTTCAATGAATGTTGTGAAATCTCCATAGGGGGAGAGGGAGTTGATGTAGATAATGGCAGGCGAAATTTTTTTTTTAAGTGAGGTAAATTAGAAGGTCTCAAGAGATCAAATGAGCAACATAATCACAATGCAGAGAATGCCAGAGGTTGATTTCAGAAAAAAAGGATTTGTAAATCAGAATTTGCTCCAGGTGAGTAGTCCTGATGTGTAATAACCTGGATTCAGGCCTAGAGAAACTAGGAGGTTAGGTCTGGTCCATGGGGACCCCAGGATTTTCTAGGATTTTCCTCTAAGAGCTAGGTATAACTGCAATTCTGATTTATTCTGAAGTGGGCCCAGGGCAAATGAAATCTGGTCGGCTGGATCTTTCTCCATTTCCCTGGGCTGCCTTGCATTTCATCAAACCCATGGATAGTGAAATGAGGTCTAAGTTGTGCTTCATTTGACATCACCGTTTCTGGCATTCAGCAAGGAGATGATTTGCACCTAGAGAAAATACAGTAAACTCTACACTGCAATGAACAGCTTTGTAAGTAGGAAAACAGCAGGCCAAATAAAGCTTTCCCTCTGGTTTCTGGCAGAAGTCTATATTTTAATTTCCCCTTTCTGACCAAATCGTTAACGAACTCCACATTATAGCAAGCTGTAGAATGGTGAGGTTATCTCAAGACCCTACTCTCTTTGACTTCTTATCCATTTGTTCAACAACATAGTCACTTCCATCCTATTCTTGTAACACTTCAGTGAGTGGAGCAATGAAGTCTTTTATAGAAGACTTAAAAACAGAGTAACTTCTTTTTCATTTTCTATGAGATGTTAATGGAGCCAAATGGACTGCTCTATTTCTGGGCAGTGGTAAAAAAATGATCTTACCTTCCCCAAAGTCCAAAATTAATTTTTCTTCAGCCCACTTTAAGCTGGCTACACTAAAGAGGCCTCTCATCCATTTAAATGATGGAGAACTTGTGGTTGGTACCTAACCTTTCAACTGTGGGGCTGGGGCAGGGGCTCGAGGGTCTGCAAAGCTTTAGCTTTAGAGATGCAGGTAATGGCTATCCCTGGTGTTTCCAAGAAGAAACTGTAATTAAATTTCTGTCGAGCTTAGTAAGATTTATCACCTGCCCAGAAAACAGAAACTATTTTTGATTTCTGAAGGAGCTTTAGAACACTTTAATTACCTCAGCAGGGTGGGGAGGTGAGCCATTAAACTGAACAGCAAGTCCGCAGTGCTAAAGGGACATTCTGTTAGCATATGCCAAAACGCTTTCCTGTTTGAGCCAGCTTGGTGTTCTGATTGAGCAACAGGACCCGAAACTTTATGTCTTGGAATATATTCCACTGACAGCTAGAATGTTTGCTTGAAACGTCAGGGTGACATTTATATCTCAGAAAGCTTTTTCTTTTAATGTTCACTTTAGTGTATCTAACCTTCCTCTCTTTGCTGAAAAAGCATTGTTGATGATGACACCATTTACTGGGTCAAAGTTAGTTCTATTGAGGCTATGGGCAGTTGGGGTTTTTGCTCTTTCTTTTGCAGAATTTTTATATTATACAGTGGTGAAATGCTTAAAGGCAAGTGCTGCAAATATTTAGGCTTTTTACATGTAGAGCTACAAAGGTACTCATACAATTGCCACTTCCATATGAAAGTTGCAGTACTAAATTGGAATACTGAATTGCTAACAAATTCTTAAGCTCATCATACTAGTATTCAGCATATAAACAAATCTACCTAATCAAGATTATAATTTCAGGTTATATTTTCTTAAGCATTCTGAAAAATAACTTCAAAGCAGAATGTTTTGGCCAAAACAGGTAACGGAGATTGGAAATGCTGTATCTGGAACATGGGTATAAGTCATATATAAAAGACTCAATTATTAACAAGAATGATGAATTATCCACATTCTCTTGGCTCTATGTCAATGCTGCAATTTGGTCTTATGGTGACATTCTTCTGGCAAGATGTCTGATGAGGTCTTCCTTATAGCTTTTTTCTTTTCTGTTAAAATCTTCTTTTTTCTTTTCTGTTAAAATCTCACAAAAAAAGGCTGGGTACAGCGGCTCATCCCTGTAATCCCAGCACTTTGGAAAGCTGAGGCAGGGGGATCACTTTTTGAAGCTGATGCAGGAGTTCCAGACCAGCCCGGCCAATGCGGTGAAATGCCGTCTCTACTAAAAATGCAAAAATTAGCCAGGCATGG